CGTTTGACATAAAGGTCAAGCCCACTAGTCTTTTTGAGTGGTACAAGTTACAAGACTTGAGGAACCCAAATAAGAGCATTCAGCTTTCTACTACTGCTAACCAGTTTGATAAGCCGGTAGTTGCAGCCCCTAGTCCATATGATATTCTGTCTACTTCAACTGAGACCAGTGCTAGAGTTTCCATTCCTGAGCCATTATCCTCAGCCCCTGCACCAGTGCCTACACTAGCTCCGAGGCTAGTGCCTATGCCGACAGGTCCATTGTCTACCTTGTGAATCTCTCAAACACTTGCGAGCCTTAACAACTGGATGCGGGCAGCTACTTCAAACCTATCTGAAATCTCTAGTATAGTTGTAGGGCATACATCTTCACAACCACATCTAGACTCCTCTGACACATATAAGAAGCTCACAACACTCTTGGACAACCAGAAGTCGATCATTGATACACAGGTATAACATGGTGCAGTGATTGAGCGGTTGACCAAGAAGGTGAAGAAGATGATAAGGACACGGGCCAGCAAGAAGTCAATTGATGCACTTTGATCTGAGGTGACTAGGATAGCTGAGGCCGATTATTTTCCCTTTGATATACTATCGGACCCCTCCTAGCCTCACCCATATCCGCCTTCTCATGAGGATCCCGCTGCTCAGACTGAGGAGCCTTGCCTTGCATCTAGCACTGCCGAGGTAGTGCGTGATATGTTCAGCTCTCAGGCAGCTTCCGCACAGGATGATGATGTGATTTAGTTAGCTGAGCCAACTGGTACTGATGCTGCTGGTGACACTGTGATGACAGAGGACCTTAGGGAGTCTCTTCGCCCCTCTCTACTCTTTCATCTTATTTTGTTAAGCATTAGGGACAATGCTTCTTTTTATCTGGGGGGGGGGGGGGTGAGAATCCTATATTTGATAATTTGATACATTTGATAACCTTGGGATATAGTTACTGGATGATTCGATTTTTGTTTATCTTTAGAAGTTTGTTACATTTATTAGTATCTTTAGTTTTGTTTGTTTTGGTGTTTTAAAATTTCATGTTTTTCTTACTATTGTTAATAATAAGCCTTTGGTTTTCTAATGTCACTTTTTTATCCAAAGGTGGTCTCTTGTGTGAAGCAGGTGACTCTTCCTGAGGATGATAGTATGACATGTTTCTTAAAAAAATGAGTCAGTTTCATGTTTAGGTAATATTAGTAGTAGTAAGTAGTAATGAATAAAAGCCATAACTAAATTGCATGCTTATGGTTTGAAACAAGTTTTTGAAGAATTAGCTCTAGTAAAAGTGACTTTGAGATTCTTTAGTTGTCTTTGATAATCATTTGGTGGTTGAAATGACCATAGTGATCTTTAACTTGATTATAATTGTTGTGGATTTTAGACTCTATCCTCTTTTACGATCTAGTTGCATAAGAAGTGAGATGAAATCTAGTTGCTAGTCCAGGTACTTGAGTGGATAGTTTAGAACTTGCCCCGAATGTGCTTCAAGGCGAAATTCTAAGTTTGCTTGGTTAGAAAATTGATTGTAAGCTTACCGTGGACCGATTTTCTATTGTCACCCTATGATCGTTATCCTAGTCAACTCCTTTGAGCCGTTAGCCTTTCTCTGTTGATAACCTTCCTATAAGCATGTACCCGATTTTGATCATAATCCTCTCTTGTCACCCAAACCTTCCTTAGCACTCATATCTAATTAAGGGCTCAAAGCCTAAATTTGGGAAAAAGTTGAGGAATCTAAAAAGAGGTATCAAGGCATTGAACGGAGAGAAACAAAAATGATCTCCATGAAAGAGAAAGTAAAAAAAGGAAGAACAAAAAGAAAACACAAAAATAAAATAAAAAGGGAGATTGATGAAATTGAAGTGAGGTAAGTATCTCTAATATGAGCATCAAGGGAGAAAAAGAATGGAATGAACAATAAAGAGTGCTGTCAAGTCTCTCTAGTCCCCAAGAAAAAGAAATCCCTCTAAGGGTTTGGCAAGGGTGAGCCAAGAAATGAGATGTGGAGTGCTTAAGGAAGGGTGTAACCACTTATATCTCATATGGTAGCCTACCCCAATCCAAAAGCCTTCATTACAACTGAAAAGAAGTCCTATTTGATTTCTAACCGAGTAAGTTTACATTAACGGAGATCTACATGAGGGGCAAGCCCATGGTACTTGAAACTTTGCTTGTGACATTCCTTTGTGAGAGAAGAGTGAAACCTTTAGTGCTCTAAAAATTGAGTGTCACATCTTGAAGTGAGCACAAAAAATAAAAAGTAGAAGAGGAAGAGTTTGGAGTCCACCATGATTTACATGAAAGAATAAGAGCCCTTGATGAGTGAAGTTAATTCTTGAGTTACATGCAAGTTGCACAGTTTTGAAAATTTTGATACCTTGTTGAGAATGCATGAGAATTGTATATAGTTGTTGGTCCCAAGAGAGTATAAATGACTTATAAGTGATTTTTTGAAATGAACTTTCACTGGGGGAGAAGGGAACTAATCTAGTTGCTTGAGGACAAGCAATGATTTAAGTTTGGGAGAGTTGATAAGTATAAATTTTGACAACTTATTATTGCCTTCTTGCTTTAGTTTTTAGTTCGAAAGTACTGATTTTTGTTTCCGAATCTAATAAAAATGTGTGAGTTGCAGGGATGCTGGAGGATGTGAGCTCAATGAAGAAATCTAACTCAAATAGGAGATGTTCCAGCTCAAACAGCTAAGAGGAGAAGTGCGGCAGCAATAGCAGATTGCAGCCCACAGAAAATGAAGTGCTGCCGCAAATTAAACCCTGAAGCTTCAGAGGATTTTAACAGCAGTGCAGTCCGCACACCAAATTGTGCGGTTGCAAAAGCTGCTAGCACTGAAAAAATTGACAGATCAGAAAAGATGCAAAAGAACAAGTCTGAAGCCTCCTTAAAGTGCTGTCCGCAGTCAAATTGTGCTGCCGAAGAAGCTGAAGTGCGGCAACAGAAGTTTATTCGCTGTGGCTGAATCCCTCCAACTGACAACCACTGCAAGAGCACTTAACTGAAGTGTGGACCGCATATGAAATTATGCGGTCGCAAAAACTCCCGAAGAGTATTTTTTTAGCAAATTTTAGAGCACAATAAATAGATTAGAAAAACTTTCTTTAGGGAAATTTTTGTACGTTGCAGGTGTGAGCGGTTAGATTTAGCTACTTTGGGCAATTTGTGACTACAATTGGAGAAGACCCATTAATTTTACCTTTTAGTTTTAATTTTATGTCTTCAATTACTTTTTTTTTTTTTTTTTTTATGTCTAAGAATATGAGTAGCTAGAATTTATCTATGGTTGTGATCCAACCCTAGTATGTAAAAGTTATGGGTATTTGATATTAATGCTTGTTATTGATTGGGTGTATGTTATTTAACCTTGTTTATGCTTTATATCTAGAATTATTGGTTGCAAACATTGATTCAAGCCTATTTGACTTAATTCTTACTTGAGAAAGAGGAATCTAGTCTAGGAAAATTTGGCTAACAAGAAATTGAACTAGTTGAAGTTTCGATTAGTTTGATTAATGAATTTGAACTAGAGATAGGAATAATGCCACTTAGACTCATATCAATTGTTAAGATTGCTACCCATTTTGTCTTGAGAAAGCCAATTTGGGCATAAACACTCTTTCACTGAAAGATATTGAGTGGGTATTTGAGCATCGAGAGTCATAACACACCTTGATCTACCAAAACAAGCATAGATTAACTCTACCTATTAGGTTTACACCTAGGTGGAGGTTACCACCCTAAGCTTTTCCCTTATTTGATAAAAACATAAAAAACATTCCACTCATTATATGCTGATTAGTTAGTTCAATCATTCAGAAGTTAATTTAGATAACAATTACCCACACTTATTTGAAAGCTAAAAATTTTTATCTCAAGTTTTTTTTCTTGAGTGTTTACCTTAACACCAACTAAAATTCCCTGTGGATTCGACCCTGCTTGCTTTGGGTTTTATAATTGCAACAACCATTTTATACTCTTTAATTGGATCTGAATAGGACGTGATCACTACTGAAATTGATTCAGCAATTCACAATTCGGGTATATCATCCAACTAAAAAATGACATGCGCTATAATTTGGATTCTTACGTGGCATTTTAATTGAGCGGCAAGGTGCCACTGCGGATAACTGATAGGGCTGGGGGCATTTCTGTTTACTTTGTTAATGATAGAGGTGTATAAAGAGAAATTATAACAGAGGGTAAATGTAAACTATTTAGCAAACAACAAGTATAAATCCGGACTTCTTCTCTAACATAATTATCTTTTATAATTTACGTTTTAGATGAAGTGGTCAACATCGGACTTCTTTCCTAAGCTCATTTTCTCCCGGGCCCCTTTGGTGACGGAGCTACTATTTCGATAATTCGGCAGAACTCGATAGCTTTAGTTTAAACTTTACAGTTGTGTTAAAGAAATTCACTTAACATGTATAAATAATTTATCCGAAATTCCATAATCTGTCTTTTCTATAATTCAGAACCCATAAGCTCGAAATCGTAAGTCTGCCTCAGGGTCCCTCTCATCTCTTTGGATCCAGTGCCGTCGTTCAGATACAAAAATGGTTGCCTTTTTATAATATGTGTAGCCAATTTAGAAGTTTTAATCCAATCCGTTAGAAATGGTTCCTCTCTTTGCTAACTACACTAAAATCACTAAATTGTTAATAACGAAAAGAATGAAATGGAGTATCTGGGACCTAAACTATAACAAGCAAACATATTATATTGGTCCACTTAAGAAATATGGTAACAAACAATGAAGAAAAGGGAAAATAGGAATCTATTTTAGATGGAGTGCGGTTTTAAATTTGTTGAGTGTGTATATACGAACTCGAAAGGGAAGAAACCTCCATTTGGAAACATTGGGAGGTTTGTCAGAAGGACAAGTAGAGAATGCGTGCTTGCTAACATGAAGAAACATAATCCGACTTAAGCAAAGGATAACTTTTTGAGGCACTTTCGGAGCAAAGGTTTATGAATTGGAAAATACATATAAATAACAAGCCAATGGTTATAGAAATGAATTGAAGATAAGGCGTGATTACCTACTAATATATACTTGGTCATGGCTGATTTCTGCAGCGAAGATGGTGCGCTTTTGTGGATTAGAATTCATGCATGATACATTCAGTATATATGTCCTAATGGTACTAATATTTTGTTTGCAGGAGTTTCAAGAACCATTTCAGAAACTCCCCCTACTCATTACACTCTCAAGATTCAGTCACTATCTCTGCTAAAAAAGAACAATGTTGAGAAATACAGTTCCCCTTATTTTGAAGCTGGCGGCTATAAATGGTGCAACTTTATCACTAGTGGAATCTAATTAATATTACTAGTCTCTTGAGTTTTAAATTGTAACAAATAATTGGATGTGCAGGAAGTTGGTGTTTCATCCAAATGGAAACAAAAACAAGAATGCAGAAGGGAAGCACGTTTCTGTATATCTGATGATGGCGGAGGCAAGCTCACTTGTCCCTGCAGGTTGGGAGGTCCATGCCGTTTTTCGCCTCTTTTTGCTTGATCAGAACAATGACAATTACTTGGTCCTCCAAGGTCACTGCTCTTATATCTCCTTAATTAATTTCTTTTTTTAAGTCCCTGATCTTATAACGACGTAGAAAGAATCAAGTCTGCTGTACATTTCTGCTTAATTACAACAACAGATACGACATTTCAAAAAGGAAGAAGATTCCATGCAATGAAGGTGGAATGGGGATTTGATCGATTCATAAGTCAAGAAGATTTCAACAATCAAGAAAATGGGTATGTTGTGGATGACATATGTGTCTTAGGAGCAGAGGTTTATGTATGTCAGGAAAAGTTCAAAGGAAGAGGCGACTGTCTGTCCATGGTTAAAGTCCCCATTAGCTATAAGCACGCCTGGAAGATCGACAAGTTCTCTTCTCTCGCTGCAGATTGTGAAGACTCCAAGACCTTCATGGCAGGAGAACATAAATGGTACTCGCTTCCTTACTCAAGCTGTCTAACTCAATAATGTTAGGACCGAAATAATCAGGTGTCATGCGGAAGCTAGTAAAGCAACACTTGAACGACGATAAATCATACAACGAAAGAGAAATCTACCTAAAGAGACACAAACATTTAACGTAGTTCGGTCAACTGATCTACGTCCACGGCGGAGATGAACAATCCACTATAATAAAGGAGAGTAAAAAATATCTAGAGAACAACTTCACGAAGAGGCAAACACAAGTGACACACTAACACTTGTCCCGTAAAGTTCTCCCCTAAACACGACTCTCAAACCCCATGTGGCTACATTGTGGATGCTACTGAATTAGAAGGGCGGATCCTCAATTTATAGAACTCCAAACCTTTTAATTTCCTACAAAAAAAGGAACTAGTCAAATATGGAAGAATTATATTTTCCTTCTAGGAAAAGATTTAACCCACTTATGGTAAATATGTTGTCCTTTCTTTCATGAAATAGGAAAACCAATTATGGTAAGAAAATCTGGACAAACACCTAACAAATATAAATGTTAGTCCTGCAACCTCGAAATTTATACATGCACAAAAGGAGGTCATTGTATTCTATATGTACAGTATAATTTTTTGACAAACGAGATTCAATTACATGTAGCTTAGCTACTAATGACAATGGCTGTCGGTATAATGCGATTGGTATGCATGTATAAATTAAAACAGGAAGATACAGGTATACCCCAAGGGAAAAGGGAGTGGTACAGGCAGCCATCTATCACTATACTTGGCATTGGCAGAACCAAGCAGCTTATCTCAGGGTAGTCAAATATATGCAGAATTTACATTGCGTATCCTTGAACAACAAGTCAATGCTACACATTACATCCGCAAAGGTAAGAGTGCCACGGTATTATATATACGAAATGATGTCAAAATATGGTAGCATTCATATATATCATCATTTTCATGTGTACTACTTTTGGTTGCAGCCAATTATTGGTTCAGTGGATCACATACATTCTGTGGATGGCCAAGATTTATATCGATTGGGTACTTCAGTTTGCCTGGGGCTGGTTTTCTGGTCAAAGATACCTGTGTTATAGAAGCTGAAGTCACTGTGCATGGGGCTACTACTAATAATATAATATAATGCTCTAATTAGTAGAGTCTGTTCATCACACCAATTTAATGTACTACTACTGTTTAGTGTTTGAACCATTTCCGTGTTCTTGTTGTATCTATTACTATTGGTTTAAAGAGAGGAAAATGGTACATTAATTCCGTCTTCTTTGTCTTAACTTAAGCTACTGCATTTCTTAGTGATTAAGGAAGACCCTCACAACTAAAAGTAGAATTAATCAACAACATAATTGTTTTCTCTTATTAAATGAATTGTTAAGCTTTACATAAATTATATTAAAACGAAATGCAACCGTAGAACTCTGTTTACCCTAAAAAACGGATAACGATTAAATTTGTAAGTGGTTTTAAGGATACGCGGATTAATTCGATACAAACGATAAATTGCGTATGATTAAACAAATAAAAATATAGTAAATTCGAATAACGTGAGGAGGAAGTTCCAGCCTCAATAAAATCTCCACCCTCGATCAGGACTCACAATGGCCAGCACTGATGAACAAGGATAAGAGCTTTCAATAACAGAGAAGATAATAGTATATTGCCTTGGTATGCGTGCGTTACAATGTCCCCAGTGAATAATCAGACTCCCATTTATATAGTAGGGGAGTTTTACCCTAAGCACAATTCTATAAAAGGTAAAAAAATCTTCTGTTTAACTAATCACCGGTTCTCTATCGATATGTGCCGAGATCCACGCCGTGATATCCTGTCGGTCACGGTTATCACGGCATTCTGTTGGTCGTGCTCGGTCGCCCGATAACATTCTTCGAAATCTTTTGGGATTTGGACCGATCTCAGATCATGGCCCCGATATTCTCGAGGGTGGGTGTCGTGCCCCCTAGAATTTGTCTCGATGAGTCCCTTACCTCAATCCCGTCTCCTTGTCATCGCGTCCTTTACTCGATTTATTTTATCAGAAACCGGGCCGTCTTATGTGTCCAATTTCACCCGTATACAGATAGTCCCCTCGTTTCTCGGAAAGTAAGTTTTACGGAAACGATGAGGACAAACATGAGCTCTTCGATCTCTTCTTCAATACGCTGCGACACAAAACGATAAAGAAACCGAAATGTCCCATCGGTCGCGTCATAATGATCCCCAACGCGTGTCACCCGTCGGCAGGTCGTGCCTGAATGCGAAACGACATGATGCCCATATAGATACTCCTTCTTTCGTTCATTTTTTACTTTTGACCAAGCATCTACCTTCGATCTTTCAAGATATCACTTCCTTCCTTCATTCTTCAATATCCTTACCTTCGTTCTCCAAGTAGCAACCCTTCTTTTACCTCTCACTTAAGCAAGTGCGCTTGATTTTCATAGCAAGTTCTCACCATTCATCTCCTCATTCTTTTTCATCCTTTCGAACCTTTTTATCTAGATAAATGGCGAAGACTTCAAAGACCGTTTCTCAAAAAGGTGCTCCTTCTTCTTTGCAGCCCACTTGAGGTCGAGGAGACTGTTTGCGATATGGTTGTCCTCGAAAGGTCCGCTCTGGGTGCGGCCACTGATGAATCGATGGCCGAGCCCCCTTGAAATTGTTTGTCCCCGGGGGGTGTTCGGTTGATGACGACTTCAAGGTCGAGAAGCCCTCTCCGATTCAAAGTCGATGTGAGGCGGTGTCACGGTACAACTGCTCCATTACTGAGGTCGTTCTCCCTGTGGTTAGAAAGGACTGCGGCTGGATGGATAATGACATAGTGATTCCCGGGCCTGATGATGACATTACTACCCATGTTGAGCGATATCTGAGTGTTTACAATTGTCCCTGTACATTGGGCTTGGTGGACCCGATCATCTTGGACTTTTGTAGGAGGTACAACGTATGCTTTGGCCAAATCCACCCATTAGTGTGGAGGATCATGATCCTCCTCCGATTCAGTATGAACAAAATCAATTCATGATGTTCACCATCGATCATCTATTCCGCATGTACCGCCGACTTGATACCTACAGAGTGGAGGCCGTTCCCCGAGATGTGAAACGTATCACGTAAGTATAACTCCCTTTTAGAAGTCGATTTTAAGTTTTATCTTCCTTTTTTTTATCGATGTTTGTTGTTGTGCAGCCCTTGCTCGAGTCACAAACTCCATTCCTTGGCTCAAGGAGTGGATCGAAGAAATTTGTTCGCAGATGCCTTATGCCGAGCGCTCGTGGCGTGAGCTCTCGAAGGACAGTTGGGAGGCCCGTTCTCGCGGTAAGAGTCTCTTTGTTAGATGAGTAGCACTAGGCTTTCCTTTTCAACACTATGTTCTCATTCTTTCTCTTCTCATTTTTTCAGGTTTGCCTAAGACCATCGAACTTAGGCCCTTAGCAGGGGAAGAAGATTTACCCGCCGATCCTTCTGCTTTGGGGCAGCCTGGAGCCACAGTGAGGGAGAAGAAAAGAAAGAGGGCTCCGGTGTTACACCCCATGTTTTCGTACGTGGAAGTACGCCATAAGTAAATTGATATATGATCGGAAATGAGATGTTGCATTCCGCATTTTCGTATGTTAAAGTTTCGTCGTAAGTTAATCGACGTAAGTTCGGGAGTGAGATTATTTTGGGATTATAAGCATTACACTATTTCAAACAAGTGATAAGGAAATTCGTGAAGGTGAGAGGGTAAGAAAATCGAAGAAAATGAACTTCGTCGAAGTTTGACATTTTGGGATAAAATACGGTTCGAGCTATAATACCCGGTATTTATGGACTAGTGCCATACAAGGTACCACATGACCATAACAGTAAGGTGTACTAAGTGGGTTAAAAGTGAGTAGTATTTTAAGTAATTTGAGATAATTCCTAATTATGTGGATGATTGGGTAATTATTGGTTTACGGGGGATTAGCAAAAAAATTAAGGAATTAATTAAGACATTATTGGATAAGAATTGACCACCCCAAGCATGGCAGCCCACAAAGTCATAACATATGACTCTTAAATCATTCTTCAAGGTGGCATTTTAAGAGAGTTGGGTGGCCAACTAAGCAACAAAGTAGGGTTCACTCCCAAAGGTTAAGAAAAACCTTTCTAATTCATTTTTTGAATCTCTACAATGAAGAAGGAAGCTTCAGCAACCCATTCAAAATGTTATCAACGTGAATTTGCTACCAAAGATCATACGAGACTATGTGATGTTATAGCAATGAGATTTTGTGATTCTAAGGGAGTACAGTGCAATCTTTCTCAAATAATATCATACGAATTCTTCCGTACTTCGATCCGTCGTTATGTGATTTATCGCAATTGACATGTGTTAGATGGATTGTAAAAAAAATCGACTCAGTTATGTTAAGGCTATCCCCTTCTTTCCTTTTGGCATGATCCACACGATACAAACAAAACGATCAAATGCACAACTTTCATAAATTACTCTATTCATAGAAATGCTAGAAATGCTTATGTTCTTGATTCCCCATGTGTCCTATTATTCTATCATTTGTTCATGGGTATCAGAAAATATGTAAGTTGATAAAGTTTATTTCATGATATTAATCAGAGGCATAATGGTCTTATGACGTTTCGAGAGATTTTATTGACGTACTTCTCATACATTGCATTCATTTATACATGTACATTGACCCATGACCAGATGGTGTTATATATATGGGATATGGGAAAAGGTTACGGCGTTATATACGCACCACCACCTGATCATCTGGTATACGTTGATGATTTGCCCACAGTGGCCGAGATGATATGATGGGATGCCCTCAGAGGCGATGATGTTATGAATGCATATACCCATGCATGATATGATATTTATACGCATATGTATGACATTATAATATTAAATAATTCATAGAGCTATTCAGATATACACGTTGAGTCTTTTACTCCATGTTACTCTCATGTATAGTTTACTGACTTTCATTCCTTACATACTCGGTACATTATTTGTACTGACATCCCTTTTGCCTGGGGACGCTGCGTTTCATGCCCGCAGGTCCCGATAGACAGGTTGAGAGTCCTCGAAGTAGGCTATCAGCTCAGCGGAAGGTGTTGGTGAGCTCCATTTGCTCCGGAGTTGCTTATTTGATCAGTATAATTAAGACATGCAGTGATTGGTATGGCGGGGCCCAGTCCCGACCTTTATGATACTTATGTACTCTTAGAGACTTGTAGACAGATGTCATGTATATGGATACTTGTATGGCCTTTCGGCCTATGTTTTGAGTTACAAATGATCATGTTGGCCTTATAAGCACGTATGTCACGTATGTAAGTTTTATATCAGGTTGGGTCGTTCTATGTCGAGTATTCTCTCATGTTTATTCTACTTATCTCACGACAGCCTCTCCAGCTCATTTATCTATGATAGTATGACACGAAAGATACGTTACGTTGGTACTCGGTTGAGTAAGGTACCGGGTTCCCATCGCTGCCCATCGGTTTAAGTCGTGACATCCGGGTTCCCCAAGCTCGGAGAAAAAGAAGCCAAGGAGAAGGTTGGCTCGTAAGCCAAAGGAATGCTCCAGCTTCCGGGTTCCTGACTCGGACTTGCTTTACCAGCTTAGAGATGAGCCCGAGGAAGATGAAATTTTTGTGGCCCACGAGCCATCTTCTCCCAAGGAGCGGGTGGCAACCGAGGTGGAAACAATGAAGGTTAACTCCCCTAAGGGTCAGGAGGCTGGTGCAGAGGTGAGAGTTGAAACTTCTCGAGGCGCCGACTCTGTGATTAGTGGGGATTTTGACTACTTATTTGCGCCTTTTTACTTTAGTTTAGCTCAAAAATGTTAAAAGGTATTACCGAAAACTGATAAAATATGCTTATTTGCAGGAGTAATGAAAACTAAGCCAGAGTGATGAAATTCAACTCAAAAAAGAGTATTTTTGGACAAGGACTAAATCAAAGCAAAAAGGCCAAAGTGCGGACCACAGAATTTTATCTGCGATTGCAGATCATGAAGGACCTCTGTCAGAAAAGCATTACAAAGTGCGGACCGCACAATAATTTTGCGGCCGCAGATGTTGAAGATCAGAGAGTTCCCAGTCATAGTCTATCAAGAAGTGCGGACCGCACTATAATTGTACGGCCGCACTCAAAAATGTGCGGTCCGCAAAATTTAAGAAGTGCAGCCACAATTCAGAATTGTGCAGCCGGAGAAGTTCCTCCTGTCAAGACTCACATCAATGTGAGGACCGCACACAGAATTGTACG